TTCATGAAAGATTTCTCTGCAGCATGTGATGCTGTTTGATAGCATTTTACTGACACTAGAACTTTTTTTCAAAACTAGAGTCAATCCTCTCAAACTCTGTTGCTGCTTTATCAGCTAAGTTTATGGAATATTCTAAATCCTTTGTTGTCATTTCAACAATGTTCACAGCATCTTCACCAGGAGTAGATTCTTTTGCTGTTATTGTTGTTGTTTGTTTTTTTCTTGTTAGGAGTAGATTCTATCTCGAGAAACCATTTTCTTTGTTTACCCATAAGGTGTAGCTCCTCATCTGTTAAAATGTTATGATGAGATTGCAGTAATTCAGTCACATCTTCAGGTTCACTTCTACTTATAGTTATTGCTCTTTCCGCCACATCTGCAGTGATATCTTGAACCTCTCCAAGTCATATTTGATGATCAGAATCAACTTCTGCCAAGCTCCTGTTAATGTTAACAACATTTTTATGAATCACAAATGTTCTGTTGTTTGTTTTGTTTTGTTCTGTTCTGTTCTGTTCTGTTCTGTTCTGTTCTGTTCTGTTTTGAGACAGGGTCTTACTCTACCACCCAGTCTGCTGGAGTGCAGATGACAGCTCGCTGTGGCTTCAACCACCTAGGCTTAAATGATCCTCTCATCTCAGCCTCCTGACTAGCTGGGACCACAGGCGCATGCCACCACACCTGGCTAACTTTTTTATTACTTATAGAGATGGTGTCTCGTTGTGTTGCCCAGGCTGATCTCAAACTTCTGGGCTCAAGCGATCCTCCTACCTCAGCCTCCCAAGGTGTTGGGATTACAGGAGTGAGCCACCACACCTGGCCTACAAATGCTCTTAATGGAATCTAGAATAATGAATCCTTTCTGGAATACTTTCAATTTACTTAGCCAGCTCCATCAGAGGAATCATGATCTATGGCAGCTATTGCCTTAAAAAAATGTATTTCTTAAACAATAAGATTTGAAAGTCAAAATTATTCCTTGATCCATGGGCTGAAGAATGAATGTTTTGTTAGCAGGCATGAAAACAACATTAATCTCCTTGTACATTTTCATCAGGGCTCTTGGGTAACTGTGTACACTATCAATGAGCAATAATATTTTGAAGGACTCTTTTTTCCTGAGCAGTAGGTCTCAATAGTGGGCTTAAAATCAGTACATTGTGCTATAAACAGGTGTGCTGTCATCCAGGCTTTGTGTTCTATTTCTAGAGCACAAGCAGAATAGATTTAGCATAATTTGTAAGAGTCCTAGGATTTTCAGACTGGCAAATAAACATTGGCTTCAACTTGAAAGTCACCAGCAGCATTAGCCTCTAACAAGAGACTCAGCCTGTTCTTTGAAGCCAGGCATTGACTTCTCCTCTCTAGCTATGGACAGCCTAGATGGCATCTTCTAATTAGAAGGCTGTTTTGTCTATACTGAAAATCTGTTGTTTAGTGTAGCCACCTTTATCAATGATTTTAGCTAGGTCTTCCGGGTAACTTGCAGCTTCTATATCAGCACTTGCTGCGTTACCTTGCACTTTTATATTATGGAGATGGCTCCTTTCCTTAAACCTCATGAACCAACTTCTGCTAGCTTCCAGTGTTTCTTCTGCAGCTTCCACATCTCTCTTAGCTTTCATAGAATTGAAGAGTTAGGGCCTTGCTCTTGATTAGGCTTTGGCTTAAGGGAATATCGTGGCTGGCTCAATCTTCTATCCAGACCATTCAAACTTTTTCCCTATCAGCAATAAGGCTGTTTTGCTTTCTTATCATTTGTGTGTTCACTGGGGCAGCACTTTTAATTTCTGTCAAGAACTATTTTGCATTCATAATTTGGCTGTTTAGCCCAAGAGGCCTGCTTTCAGCCTGTCCCAGCTTTTGATATGCCTTCCTCACTAAGTTTAGTCATTACTAGTTTTTGACTTAAAGTGAGAGATGTGCTTTTTTCCCCCTTTTACCTGACACTTAGAGGCCATTATAGCCCATTATAGAGTTATTAATTGGCCTAATTTCAATATTGCAATGTCTCAGGGAATAGGGAGGCCAGAGGAGAGGGAAAGAGATAGGGGAAGGGCTGGTGGTCTGAGCAGTCAGAACACACACATTTATCAGTTAAGTTCACCATCTTACGTGGATGTGGTTCATAGTGCCCCCAAACAATTACTATAGTTACGTCAAAGACCACTGATCCCAGATCACCATCACAGATGAAAATGTTTGAAATATTGGGAGAATTGCCAAAATGTGACAGAGACATGAAGTAAGCACATGCTGTTGGAAAAACGACACCAATAGACTTGCCCGACGCAGGGTTGCCACTAACCTTCAATTTGTAAAAAACACACTCTCTGCCAAGAGCAATAAGGTGAACCACTGTATAATGAGGTATGCCTCTTGTTATGCTTCGGCGGTGGTCAGGCAGCAACACATTAGAAAGACCACACTTCAGAAGCAGCTAAAGTGTATTCAAATTTATTTATTCATTTATTTTAGAGACAGAGTCTTACTCTGTCGCCCAGGCTGGAGTGCAGTGGCACGATCTTGGCTAACTGCAACCTCTGCCACCCAGGTTCAAGTGATTCTCATGCCTCCGCCTCCCAAGTTGCTGGGACTACAGGCACGTGCCGCCATGCCCAACCCAAATCCCATATATTTTAAATTTTGCTAATTTCATATGTGGCATCTTATTTTTAAGATTTATCATACTTTTGAGCAAGCCAAAAATAAAAACCCATCTCTGACGTTCACTATGCTAATTAGGAACCACATGATGTAGATAAAGATGGTGATAATAGATATCCTTGTGATATGTGCTCCTGAAGTGTGATCTTTCTAATATGTTGCTGCCTGGCCATCATGGGAGCCTGGAATTCTCTGTTTGTGTGAGTAAAATTGAAGCTTATATACCAGCACATTCATATCACATTTTGTATGCTGAAGTGGGTTAATGTACGTTACAGTAATCATACAAGTAGTCCAGTTCCAGTCTGTGGAACTCCCGTTTGTAGCCTTTTTATATAGGAATTCATGCCAGCTTTCTGGGAGTCTCCATTCTAGCAGCGGAGAGGTATCATTTGAGTAGAGATGAAAGGGTAGAGGAACAGAAGTGTGGTTGTGTTCTGGGAATACACTGCAGAGTGTCCAGCCAGATGGAACAGATGATAAAACTGGCACTGAGATAGGATATGGTGATGGTGGAAAACTTTAACTGCTAGTGACTGCTGGAGACCCACTCTGCTAATGGCAGTGCATCTCAATTACTTTCAACTTGCCTTGCTGATTTGCTCCCTCAGACATTGATGAAGTAACAAAATGATCAATTTCTACCTAAACGCTAAGCTATGAGGAACAATTTAAATGATGAGGTAAAACTGATAGGAATCCTGAAAGAGAGTACATGTTCAGCTTTGTTTACTTTGACAAACATTTAATAAATGCCAGGCATTAGGCTGGGCATTGGTGATCAAAAAATGACCAAGGAAACCATGAGGACCAACACACCCAAATTGGGTGGGTCAGGAAAAACTTCCCAAAACGTGAACTGAGTCTTGAAAATGAGTGGTGTGTGGCAAGTGAAGAAGAAAGAGCGTGGTGATGGGGCTGGGGCTGGGGATATTGTTCCAGGCAGCAGCGACCACAGCAACAAAGTCATAGAAGCATGGCATAGCCTTAGTGCACAGAAGTCTTACAAGATATTTGATACTGTTGAATTTTGAAGAGAAAGGCAGGGCAGCAGGGAAAGGAAGCTAGGAGGAAAGAAGAAATTAGCCATCCCCATCAAAAAGAGGGCAGGGGGTATGAACAGACACTTCTCAAAAGAAGACATTTATGCAGCCAACAAACACATGAAAGAAAGCTCATCATCACTGGTCAAAGAGAAATGCTAATCAAAACCACACTGAGATACCATCTCACGCCAGTTAGAATGGGGACCATTAAAAAATCAGGAGACAACGATGCTGGAGAGTATGTGGAGAAATAGGAGCACTTTTACACTGTGGGTGGGAGTGTAAATTAATTCAGCCATTGTAGAAGAATGTGCGGCAATTCCCCAAGGATCTAGAAATAGAAATACCATTTGACCCAGCAATCTCTTTCCTCGGTATATATCCAAAGGTTTACTATTATGAAGACACATGCACACATATGTTTATTGCAGCACTCTTCACAGTAGCAAAGACTTGGAACCAACCCAAATGCCCATCAATGATAGACTGGATAAAGAAAATATGGCACAAATATACCATGGGATACCATGCAGCCATAAAAAAGGATGAGTTCATGTCCTTTGCAGGGACATAGATGAAACTGGAAACCATCATTCTCAGAAAACTGACACAAGAAAAGAAAACCAAATATCACATGTTCTCATAAATGGCTGTTGAACAATGAGAACACATGGACACAGGGAGAGGAACATCACACACCAGGGTCTGGGGTGTAGGGGTGGGTAGCGGAGGAATAGCAGGGGGTGGGGGATTGGGGAGAGATAGCATTAGGAGAAATACCTAATATAGATGGTAGGGTGATGGATGTAAACTAAGTTGAAGTATTAATAGAAGAATTAAATTAGGCTTCAATCATCCTCTGAAACCAACAGGACAGAGATAAAAGAGAGCAGAATGAGACCTCAGGTCAGGAAGTAAGATCATGATAACCAGAGATGGTTAGAGTTCATGGAGGCAGTCAAGATAACTTAAATTTTAGGAAAGCAGATTTAAATAAATTTAGAATAAAGTTATGATCTCACAGCTTTGAGTCTTGCAAATTGTGAGATGTGCAAAAATAAAAGCCAGACTTTAAAACTACAAAATATTACAGTGAAAAGAAAAGAGAGCAATTTATTAACGAAGACTTCTTTAGAGTCTCTCTTTAAAACCAGAATTTTGGAGGATTTGTGTATTTGACTTTTGTTGAAAAGAGGACTTTATAAACAGGTTTGCACAAATCAAAGGCTGCCTGAGAGTCACCCCCAATAAGCTAAAGCTTGGAGGAAATGGTAAGGCCAACCAAAAAGAGCTCTTTAAAAGTTATCTTCATAGAAAAAAAAATTAAAAATTTACAGTGCCACTGATTTGGAGAGAAGGCATAATGTTCAAAAATGGAAACGACAGAGAACAAACATAAAATTCCCCTTATTTCCAATTTCCAAATTTCTGCTTAAGGAGCACCATCATCCTATAGAAAAGAGTGCAACTACTGTATAATAGGAACACTGATAGCTGGACCATATCCAGAGGAGAGACACGGCATGTGAAGGATGGCTGAAAGAAATGATAACGTTTATCCCTGAGCGCATTACAGGGCACAAGAGCTACCTTTTCATATTGAAATGCTGTCTTTTAGAAGAGGAGTTAGTTATTTCTGTTGTATGTTGTAGATCGATGAGGAAGAGAGAAGGACAATGGGAGAAAGGAAGAAAACAGGGTTAATTTATAAAAGTCACAGGAAGTTGAATTTTAAGTCAAATAATCACCTTTCACCTATTGGGTTTCTTCATACACAGTTTCCCCCCAATGCCTTTTTTTTTTTTTTTTTTTTTTTTGGAGACAGGGTCTCCCTCTGTCATCCAGGCTGCAGCGATACAATAATAGCTCACTACAACCTTGACATCCTGGGCTCACGTGATCCTCCTTCCTCAACCACTGAAGTAGCTGGGACTATACTACCATGCCCTCCTAATTTTTGTGTTTTTTGTAGAGATGGGGTCTTGCTATGTTGTGCAGGCTGGTCTTGAACTCCTGGGCTCAAGTTATCCTCCTACCTGATCCTCCCAAAGTGCTGGGATTACAGGCATGAGCCACTGTGGCTGTCCCAACATTTTGTTAGGAAAAAATTTTGAACACACAGTAAAGTTGAACAAATTGTACAGTGAATGCCCTTTTACAATGAAACTACCAACTCAGATTCTACTGTTATGTTTTATTGTACTTGGTTAAGCACATGCTTTTCCATCTATGCACCCCTCAATTGAGCCTCTTATTTGATACATTTTGATGGAAATTTTATATACTTTTGTCTGGGAAGGCGAGGGACCTTCATCCCACGAGCTTTCTTACAGTGGCTAGTGGCTGTTTACTGGGGACACTGTAGTGAGGATTTCTGCATGGAATAGGTGAAGAAGACCAAAACTGTGGCTTTCAAACTTTTCTGACTGCTACCCTTACTAAGAAATGTATTTCACATTTTTATCCAGTGTACACTACATATACACTGAAGTAAAAAATTTAGGAAACAATATTTACCCTTTACATGTGTGAAGCATGCTGGTATTTTATACTTTTATTTCATTTAATAAGATGCTGGTCATGCTTCCCTAACTTGTTTTAGATATCCACTAAGGGACTGCAATTTACCATTTGAAAATAATTGTACTTAGTCTGATTCCAAGAAGATTTTTCTTTGTAAAAGAATCCTGTGCTACTACTAGAGTTTTCCTTATCTTACCAATTATCAAGACCCTGTTTTGAGTCTCAGTACAGTACTTACTTAACATGCATAGCATTAGGGCATGTGTAATTAAGAGAAAAACCTTAAATGCCTGGTAAGACTTCTGGAAAGAGCCAATTCAAACATTCTTTATTAGTAAGTTTACTACTTATTTTCACAAAGAGTAAGATAAAGATATGTACTCTTGGATTGGTGGGAGGATTCAGTACTTACATAGTCTTCTGTTAAATTCGGCAATTAATGCCTGCCGCGGTTCTAACAAAGTCTCATCTCTATCAAATGAGAAAACGGATGGGAAAGTACTTTGAAAACTAATGTTTTTATTAATACTGTTGTGTGATGCCAGGAAGAAAGGGATGTTGCGATGAAGCTTTAGGGAGGCAGTGTTTCAATATTTTAAAAACTGTTCTTATGGAACTGTTACATTAACCTCCCCAAGCCCCAATGACTACGCTTTGACGCGAGACTCCCAGAAGGTAGAAGCTATGAAGTTCGAGTTCAAAGCCCCGAGTTCCAGCGCGCTGCTCCGTTGGCGCATGCTCAAGAGCGGCTCGGGCCTCCTTGCGGGGTTGGGCAGAACACTGAGGGCGGGGTTCGGGCCACGTGGGGTCTCGTGACGTCATCTCCGGGCGCCGAGGGTGACTGGACTTGTGGTGAGCTTCCAGGGCTCCGCGGCGCTGCCGGTTGTATTCGCTGGATACCAGAGGGCGGAAGTGCGGCAGGGTTCGGCTCCGACCTCCGCGCCAGTGCTTTTTGCGGCTGCGCGGGCTTCCTGGAGTCCTGCTGCCGCGTACCCGCAGGACAGTGTGTCAGGCAGGCAACCTGCCCGGCCGCCCCACTGGAGCCCGGGATCCAGGCGTCCCCACCGGTGAGGGGAGCCGGAAGGAGGAGCCGTCGCTTCGGATAGGGTACGTGTGTGTGTCCCCTAGTGTGAGGAAATTCCTAGAGGAGGGGGGCTGGGGAGGGGCCAGGTAGGTGTGGTAGGAAGGAGGGGTGAGTAGCTGCCTGGAGGAGCGCCCGCCCGGCGGCTATGGCGGGTGAAGGTGGTTCCTCTGGGCAGAGGTGGGGTTGGCGAGACGCCGCCCCCGGAGCCCGGAGGCTGGTTGGCGGGTGTGGCCTGTGAGGTCCCTCTTGGGGTATCTGTCTGTTGCTTCTTAAGGTAGGAAAGCGAGAGCCTAGTCGCAGGCTCCAGAGTTCAGTACAGGACCTGAATTTTTCATGGAACAGTTATTTAAACCTTGGTTACTGCCCAGTGCAATGCGAATCTGTCCAAACTCAGTGGGTATGTCCTACAAGCAATTTATCTTGTTACGGTATTCCTTGTCTTATTTTGATGATAATATTTAGTGCTACCAAAGACATTTTCTGTTGGCAGGACACTTTTACATACTTCATTTGTACTTTGGGTTATTTTAAAATTATCCTGAACTTGAGGAGCCTAGGAACTGTATTAATTCTAGATTTTTCTGAGGGGTGAGGAGGCACAGCATGTCTTGAGCAGTCAGAACCCGGAGACTTATCAGACAGTAGCTGAACTTCCAAAGCCTTCCAGAATTGGCTTGTTAAATTTCTGAAACCTTGAAACTGGATACTTGGCTCTGAAATGCACTATTTGTGATTTCCATAGAGGGAGTTTCTGGTTTAATTTTGAATTTGAAAATAAGGATGTTGGGCTGAGGGTAGTAATTGAGAGGAATTTTACACCAGATGTAAGTGTGTGCTTTGATCTTCAAAGAAATACTACTTAAAATTAGGTAAAAATGAACAGAATGGAACTGTATGGATATGAGTTTTTAGAATAGTGCGCACACCTCAAGTGTGTGTTTATTTCATTAATTTCCCCCAAACTGAGTACCTCCTATGTGTTAGGGACTGGATAAAACAGTAAATGAAACAGTGAACAAAAGAATAAAAATCCCTGCCATAATGAAGTTCCACTTTGGGGATGGGGTGAGGAGACATTGATAAAAAAAATTAAAGTACAGTCTTTCCTGTCCCTTGGTATCTGTGGGAAATTGGTTCCAGGACCTCCCTTGGATACCAAAGTCCTCAGATGCTCAAGTCCCTGTTATAAAATGGTGTAGTGTTTGCAGATGACCTGTGCACATCCTCCTATCTTTAACTCAACTCTAGATTACTCTTAATACCCAATACAACATAAATGCTGTATGAATAGTTGTTGTAGTGTATTGTTTAGGGAATAATGACAAAAGAGTCTATACATGTTCAGTACTGACCTTTTTTTCTTCCCTGAATATTTTTTCATCCATGATTAGTTGCATACAAGGACAAATAACCCATGGGTATGGAGGGTCAACTGTATATGTCAAGTGGTGGAAAGTGCTAGAGAAAAAAATAAAGCAATGAAGGGATATAGGGAATGCCCAAGAGATGGGAGTGGTGGCCATAGAAAAGGTGATATTAACGTGGAGGCCTAAAGGTGATAAAGAAGGGTGCCACTTGGAAAGAGCTACCACAGAATCCCGGAGACAGGAGCTAGTTTGGCTGGAAATGGATGAACAGGAGGGAAAGAAGTAGTGGATACTTAGGTGGAAATGGGGCCAAGTCATTTGGGGCCATGTAGGAATTTATAAGAACTTTAGTTTGTACTTAGAATGAGTTGGATTTTGAATAAGCAGTAAGGTGATCTAACTTGTGTTTTAAAAGATCTGATTGCTGTGTTGTCTGTATGCAGCGGATGCAGATATAGAGCTGTTAGTAGGCCATTGCATTTATCCAGGTTAAGGGTCAAAGTGACTTGAATCAGGGTAGTAATAGTGGAGGTAGTGCGAAATGACCAGATTCTAGACATTTTAGAGCAAGTAGGTAGAAGAAGGGTCAAGGATGATTCCAAGGGTTACGGACTGAGCAACTAAAGAATAGAACTTGGCCGGGCATGGTGGCTCATGCTTGTAATACCAACTCTGGAAGAATCACCAGCCTGGGCAACATAACAACCCTATCTCTACAAAATAAAAACAAAAAATTAGCTGGACGTAGTGGCATGAGGCTGTAGTCCTAGCTATATGGGAGGCTGAGATGGGAGGGGAGGATCACTTGACCCCCTTGAGCTCAAGGTTACAGTGACCCTTGATCCTGTCACTGTAGTCCATCCTGGGTGACAGTGAAACCCTGTCTCTTAAAAAAAGAGGACTTTCCCACTTTGTGAAATAGAAAAGACCACAGAGTGATAGTGATAGGAAAGAGGAGGAAGGAAGATCTGAAATGGTTTTCGGTTTTATATATGTTAAATTTCTAAATGGAAATGTCATATGTATATGTAAAGCCAGCCAGTTCAAAAGAGAAGTCTGGACAGAAGATAAAAATGTGGGAGTGAAAATGTATAAGTGTTATTTAAAACCATGTGAGAGGTCTCCATGGGAGTGGTTCAAGGACTGAGTCCTGGAGCATTTCAACTTTTAGAGTTTGGAGAGATTTACAAAATTTCCTGCCTCCCAGGGTGGGGCTATTTGGTAAAATTCCTGTTGAGACTCACTGATTCACAGTAACAGGATAGAAGGAAATAGAAAGCAAGGCCATTAGCTGAGAGAGAGAGAGAGAGGAGGAGGAGGAGGAAGAAGAAGTGAACATTTGAGGGAGGAGAAAGTATGGCATAGTGATCTGGGAAAGTGGGAGAATAAATGGACTAGGGAAAAGTAGGAACTTTAGGCAGTACTGAGGACCTGGTTTTGAGGTTAGTGTTTAGAATTTAAAGGAAGATCAGCCAGCATAGATTATTATTTTTTGATGTTTACACGCTTAGTCTAGTGAGTGTTTGATATTTCTAGGTAGTTGTCAATGAAAATTACTTCAGGTGGTAGGTTAGTCTTTCTTGGTGTGTAGAGTGGCAGAAACTGTTAGTTGTGCATTATATTGTTACCACACTGTGCCATTTACTGAATGACTGATTGGTTAACAGATGTTGTTGGTTTGGGTACCTACTCTGTCCCAGGCTCTGAACTAGATGCAGAAAATAAAATAGTCAAGTATAGCCCCTGCTCTCAAGAAACTTACTTCTAGTAGATTGCATCACGGGTTGGAATTTCTTTATTTCCAAGATATTTCCTTGAAATTGGATGGATGGTGATGATGGTGTAGTATATGTAGGAGATGGAAAATCTTTCTAAAATAACAAAATATGCTGAATTTAAAGCATGACTGTACTGATTTGGAAGAGAATTTAGGGAGAAAATTTCTTAAGTAGCTAGATTCATATATGTATATATTTTCCCCATTCAAAGCCTGCTATGTGCTAACTATACTAACATTGGTGATAAGAAGGTACATATGACTCAATTTCACTGGCAAAGAACTCCCAGTTCAATATGGGGAGGTGCAGGAGACAGATAAGATAAACAGATAACTGCATTGCATGGTAGTGCCTGCTATTATGGAAGTAATAAGAGCTAGGTGAGGTAGCTCACACCAGTAATCCTAGCACTTTGGGAGGCCAAGGCAGGCGCGAGGCAGGCAGATCACAAGGTCAGGAGATCGAGACCATTCTGGCCAACACGATGAAACCCCATCTCTGCTAAAAATGCAAAAATTAGCCAAGCGTGGTAGTGCGTGCCTGTAGTCTAGCTACTTGGGAGACTGAGGCAGGAGAGTCGCTTGAGCCTGAGAGGCAGAGTTTGCAGTGCGCTGAGATTGTGCCACTGCACTCCAGCCGGGTGACGGAGCAAGACTCTGTCTCAAAAAAAAAAAACAAAAAACGTAGTAGTAATTAGACTGGAGGCTGCTTAGGGGAAAGCTTCCCAAGGAGCTGATATTAAGCTGACTCTTAAGAGTTGGCCCAGAGAGGATAAAAGAGTTGGCCAAAAGAGGGACAGAGTGTTAAAGCAGAGGAGCCTTGGAAATATGAGGAAACTGTGTACTAAAAGATACATTGTTTATTGATTGGTTACCAAATGTGCTAAACACGTAACAGCCCTGTGAAAATTACAGTTATCTTCATTTTACAAATATGAGATTCAAAGGGGATGGGTTTGTTGTCCAAGACACATGAATAGGTGGAAATCAGCGTTTAAACCCATGTCAGTCTGATTTCAAAGCCCCTTAACTACCTTACTGTATTTTGCATGCTGTCAACTTCTAAATCTTCTCTGCCCTTGTTCTTTATCCTTCAATCATTTTTCACCAACTTCTCTTTCTTCCTTGGAAAGACTCATCTGTTTTTCACCAGTCCACGACTACCTCTCTAGGTCAGACACTCATTACTTTTTGCCTTAGTTGCTGAAATTTCTTCCTGGCTAGCCTCTCTGACTCAAGGCTCTTCTTTTGTGCACTGCTACCAGGGAATTGTTTTTATTTTTACCATTCTAAAATCTGTAGGCACTATAGGACTGGTGGATTAAATTGAGATTGCCCCCAGTCTTCTATTTGGTATGCTTCATGGTCTAGTCCCATTTTACATTTACAGATTTGACATTAGAGGAATAATAATTGCTTACATTTCTTAGCACTCACCATGTGTCCATTATTGTGTCAAACACTTTATGGATTTTTTCTTTTTCCGGAACAACTTTGTGACTTGAGTAATATTAATTCCATTTCACAAGTAAGGAAATTGAGGCTTAGTGAAGTAAAGTGACTTGCCTAAAGGTCACATGTAATGTTATAACATGTTACAGTATCAGCTCTTTCATTATTTGTTAATGCTACTCTCAACTAAAAATTTTCTTAAAAGTTGGCATATGTTGCGCCTGCTTACTTAATACCTTTATTGATGCTGTTTTGGCCTATTAGAGTATTTGTCACATTTTTGCCTGTCCATATTCTACCCGTTCTTCAAGTTCCACATCTTTTAAAATTCTTTGAACACTATGGGATATATTAATATCTCCAATACCCCTTTTCCCCCGCCCCGTGAAAGCTCTCATAAAGTAACGTTTAATTGTACCATGGGCATACGGATGTTTTGGAGTTGGAAGGGATGCTGGCAATCAGTATAGTATGATGGAAAGAGTATGAGATTAGAAATCTGAGTTAGGATGTGGCTTCTAATTTGGGTTCTGCCATTTATTAGCCACAAGATTTTAGAAAAAATCATCTGACATCTTCATCTCAAATTTATAATTTGTAAAATGGGAACATACAGGCTTGTATCAAGTATGAGGTAATGTAAAATGTGTAGTGTTTCTAGAGTTACTTGATATTTAAAGTAGTATATAATCTGTTATCTAATTTTTGTTATCTAATCTCATCTGTTTACCTCATTTTTCGGGATTCTGTTTGGTTCTGTAATTTTATATTTATACATTGTCTTTCCAACAAATTCAAATTCAGTAAGCGTTTTTTGAGCACCAGTGAATTCCAGATACCATTCCAAGTATCAGAGGTAAAAAGATGAATGAGATACGATCCTTTTCCCTAAGGGAATCTGTTACAGTCTACTGGAGGAGATGTGCAAGTAAATACCATTGATATAAACTTACAAGGGTAGAGGAAAAGTAGAGGTGCCGAAAGAAAACAAAGAGGGCTCTGCCTGAGTTATGTGTAGAAGAAAGGTTATTTTGAGCTGGATTCTAAAGGATGTTTAAGTTGGAAGACAAGATAGAGAAGGCTGCTTTAGGTTAAGGGGACCACTAGCATGGGCAAAGGCACAGAAAGGACAGTAAGTGTATGGTATGTTTAGTAGATTTGGAGATTATACCTTGTTATTGACTGAGGAGTTTTTTTTTTTTAGTTTTTTTTGTTTTTTTTTTTTTGGTAGGGGACGGAGTCTCACTCTTGCTAGGCTGGAGTGCAGTGGCACAATCTCAGCTCACTGCAACCTCCTCCTCCTGGGTTTAAGCGATTCTCCTGCCTCAGCCTCCTGAGTAGCCTGGACTACAGGCTCGTGCCACCACACCCAGATAATTTTTGCATTTTTAGTAGAGATGGGGTTTCACTGTGTTGGCCAGGGTGGTCTCGATCTTTTGACCTCGTGATCCACCCGCCTCAGCTTCCCAAAGTACTGGGATTACAGGTGTGAGCCACTGTGCCCGGCCATGACTGAGGTTTTTAAAAGTTCATTATTACTCTTCTAGCATCTGTTACACAGCTAGGCATATCAAACAAATTAGATATTTGACTCTAAATTTCATATTATTAGCAGTGTTTACTGCAAAATTTTTAGCTATTTTTTATTCCTATTATTCCAATTTATATAATACTTTTGATTATTAGTTTTTAAAGTCTCTAAATGTTAGCTTTTAAACATTTTTTGAGACATGTTCTGTAAATCATAATGGTAGATAACCTTTATAGTACATATTATATGATAGACATTGTTCAAGGTCTTTACTTGTATTTTTAGTAGAGATGGCGTTTCACCAGGTTGGCTAGGCTGGTCTTGACCTCCAGATCTCAGGTGATCCACACGCTTTGGCCTCCCAAAGTGCTGGGATTACAGGTGTGAGCCACTGTGCTCGGCCATGCTTTACGTGTGTTAATTTAATTCATGTATCCAATGTGGTAAGTGCTGTTTTCCCATTTTACAGATGAGAAAACAGAAATAGAGAAGTTAAATGACTTACTTGAGGTCACACTGTAAGTGGTGGAGCTAGTTTTGGATCCAGACAGTTTGGCTCCACATATTACATTTCTAACTCTTGGTCTATAGTGCCTCTCAAGAGTTCAATTTTGTTTTATTGCCTCTTTAAAAAAGGATTATTGAAAACTTACATCCTTTAGTTTTATTCATGTATCCCCAATTTTTTTTTCTATTGCATTAAGGCACTATTTCTGGAAATCCCCAATTTTTTGTACATATTTTTACGGTTAAGTGTATTCACTGGAAACATGCATTCTTATATAATTTATTAAGGTAAACATTAATATTTGAAAGATTAACATTTTAAGATACTATAAATTTGGGTCTGTGTATTTTGAGGTGGTAAGCAGCTTCCTTTGCAGTTTTCATAAATCTGTTTTGCAGAGTTTGTTTGTTTTGCAAAATTTGTATCAACTCTATCACATTATACCTTTGGCTGCTTTGGGCTGAGATAGTTCTTCCCTTGAGGTCTTGCCAAAAAAAAAAAAAGAAACATGTAAGAAACAATGGCATATGGGAAATAAAGTACCAATTTATCTTTCACTAGCTTTTGTACTTAAAATCCTACTGTAGAACTTTGGTAAACTTTGCTGGAACATAAGACTTTAAAACGCAAGCCTGCGTTTGGAGTCTTGAGGTGTTCTCCTTCCCCTGTCTATATTTGTATCTCTTTTGGAAAGGGACTCAGAAACAGAGAGCATTGGTTATTCCTTTCACTGTTCCTGACATGTGGAAAGGAGAAACAGAAGAGAATGTCATGGAAAGAAAGAGCAGGATGGTCAGGGTTCTCATTGACAGCCTAGAGGGAGAGAAGGGAGCCACACTCACATGTATGATATTTTAGTTTATGATGTTTCCTGCCTATTAATAAACATGGCCCAAATGGTGTCCTGGAATCTGACCAATCAGATTATTATACCTCCTTGAGAGGAGGACAGTGCTTGGGGAGGGGCGAAGAACAATTAATTGTCTTAGATCATATTTTCTGTCTGCTTCTTCTGAGAAGAAAAATAATATCAATAGTGACAATATAGTGTCTTCAACTTTAAGCTTGTAATTAAAGTTTATTAAAGATTTTTAGTAAAGGAACTCTTTGTCTCAAATCGTTTTTCTCTTCATCGTCAAAAGGTGAATCTTAGTTGCAGCTGTTGATTAACTGGATGTATCATGGCTGCAGAAACAACTGCATACACCTTTATATCAGATTCGATTTTAGATTTACTTATTTGTCATAACCTAGATTTCATTATTTTTTTGCCACTAGCAAATTTACTTTAAAAAGAGCAAGCTATTAATGTAATCAAGAAGTAGTGAGGTCTTTCCTGTTTTCAGTGAGTTGATTTTGTGTCATTTGTAAACTTGGAAATTTTTTGCCTTATGCAAAAACTCAATGGTTGTTTGAATTTGAAGCCTCTCAATGTACCATGATATGAAGTTTACATGCATGTATATCATTTGCTTAAAATAGCTGTTTTTATGGATATAGTTTAATAAAAGTTAAAACACTGGAGCCTGCTGGAAGAGAGCACTGGACTCAGTTTAAGAACCAGCGTTCTTGTTGCCTAGTACTTTTATGTTGGACATATTTTTTCCAACACTTGCAGTTTACTTACCTGTAGATGACATTGCATCCAGTTGACCTCCAACTTTTTCTTTCTTTGACTAATTAATTTATGACAGTCTTAATGTACTTGGCATTGGTCAGTGGAAGAGAAATAAAAGGGAAACAAGCTACTTCAATAATTCAGTGTTAATGATTCTTGTTTGGCTAAAGTCAAGATTTAGAATGTTTTCACAGGATACATTGTGATAAATTATGAAGTAGCTGCCTATCAAAGATAAATATTATTTGGATAAGTATACTGAATCTTAGTATCCAGGTGCCATGTATTGAGTTACTCTAAGCTTATATTATCAACAGTATTTACTTCAGCATTTACGTATGTGGTGCATTGTGTTGTGTTATTCAGTTGTAGAGTATTAGCACTGGAAGGCAGTTGGATATTACAGAGGTCAAAAGCTATGTCCTTATGCCATACCTAGAATATCGTTTTGCAGATCTAGTGCTGTATTTGTGACATAGGGAATATTCTGAGATATCCAAATGGGAGTATTTACTCTTTCATTGCGGCCCGAGGACTGTGAGCTTGGTTTGCAGTGCAGTAATTTGAATAGGTAAGAGAGGAGCATACTAGGTAGGGGAATAATAGTATACAGAGAATGGTGTTTAAAAGGTCACTTTTGGTAGCAGAATTACAAAAAGAAGTATAATAATTAAAATAGAAGTATTGGTTGGATTAAATTGTGGTCAGGATGAAATTTAGAATGGGTAATGGGTTTGTAGAAAGATTTTTTCCTAAGGTGAAAGAAATATTTTCTAAGACGGGAGAGTATTTTTGCAGGAAGAGAGGAAGAACTATCTGGAGTAGGAAAAGGTGAATATATTGGATGGGGCAGGGGTAATTGTGAGAATGATCCTGTGGAGTTAGACTGTCAGGATTCATACGGTATGGGTGAAGCTTCTGTTTAGATAAGCAGTAGACTCTTCTGGGCTTGGAAGAATGATGCAAGTATAGTTTCATTTTGACTGTGGTTCATTACTTGAATATGCAATGAACATTACTTGCATATGTAATTTTGAATTAGTTACTTTTCTGATTCCTTTAAATAATAACTCTGTATTTAGAATTTCTGGTACTCTTTTTTTGCATTCTAAAGATTGGCGATCATACCTTTTTTTTTTTTTGAAGTGGATAATCTTCATGGCATTCGTTTTTTAAATAATCTTTTGTTTTCTAGCAAATTCATTCATCCTTGCAAGGATCTGACTAATGCTCTTCATTTTATTTTCAGTTTGGCTTTTGTTGAAAAAAGAATTTAGCCTGTATGTACTGCTTTAACCACTGGAAGAATGACAGATGACAAAGATGTGCTTCGAGATGTGTGGTTTGGACGAATTCCAACTTGCTTCACGCTTTATCAGGATGAGATAACTGAAAGGGAAGCAGAACCATACTATGTAAGTATATTGATTATGGCAAATGGGATATTTAACTTTGTCCACTTTTGTAAAAAAAAAAAAAAATCTAAGAACTTGGAGGCTGTTATGTAACATTTTATATACAGCTAATTCATGCTTATTTTGGAAAAACAACACAGATAAGCATAAAGAAGGAAGTAATCACCTCTAATGCTGCCACTCAGAGGACAAAACCACTGTCAGCATGTTGTCATGATGCCTTCCGGACTTTGTTTTCTTACATGTATGTGCATATGTTAATAGAATCATCAGCTATGGTGCCTTCTTGACTTTTTCTTATGCATATATTCGTATATATGATAATGGAATCATCAGATATGTGCTTTTTTAATAGGAAGAGATTTTGAAAATAATAGATTCAGATTGCATTCGTTTGTAGTTAGGAGATTCCAAGCAACTGTTTAAGTGTTTTTATAGTTCAGTGAACATACAAACATGCGCACATATACACATTCATATGTTGACTGAACTGTTGTATGTTATACGTGAGCTAATATGTAAAACATTTAATATATATTATAAATTGCTTCACATAGACTTGCAGATGTGAATTAATCTGTTCTACAAACAGTTTCAAATATCTTCTGATTTTCATGTGCTATTTTCCCCTTTTCTAACAATGTATAATCCCAGCTTATGCATCTGTCAGAGATGACATCCTACCTGTTTACTGAATAGCCTGTAACAGGCAAAGATATTCTCAATTACCATTACTGTTTTTTCTTTTTGTGTCTCAGGTATGCATGCTAGTGTTTACCTGGAGAGGGTGTGGAAAAGTGGAAATGTATTTGTGATGAGGAAATGCTTCTTCTGTTTCACTTTAACAAAGTTTGCCCTTTGCTTTCCCCCTCCTTTCTCTGAGAGGCAGCGCTGCTCCTCAGCCTGCTCCAGCTACGGGAAGTCAGATTACTGGAGGAAGCTACTTATTAAGGAGCCCATTCACTTACTTTTTGGGTATAGGACTGGTTTTTGTTTTTGTTTTTGTTTTCCTCTCTGCATCCTTAGCATCTGACACAGGCTGTTCAAGTGGTACTACTCAGTGCATGAACGTTTCCCCGGGCTCATGTTGGGATGTTGTTTGGAATCACCTTTCTGGCTTTTCTTACTAGAAATGATAGTTGTAGAGAAGTTTGGCCATCTTGTTACTGGTACTCAAGCTTATATACATGTGAGTATTCTTAACTTTGGAAATATTAACCGTTTTCTGTCTAGAAAAGTATCAACAGTTAAAAACAAAGTATGGTTTTATTTTTAGAAGAATTTCATTTGTTAGCAATATTTTTTCTGTTCTTGTTCTGCGATATAGGTTAGGAAACCATTTTTTTTCCAAAGAAGTTTTTGCTGTTTTAATTATAACTTTTAACCTTCGTTGGCTTTGTAATAGTATCTAAACCAAAGAGTATATTCGGCCAAATTGATGACAACTGAAAAATAAATAATTTAAGTCAGTTTATTTTTATTTATTTATTTATTTTGAGGCAGAGTCTTGCCCTGTTGCCCAGGCTAGAGGGCAGTGGCGCCATCTCGGCTCACTGCAACCTCCCCTGCCTGGGTTCAAATGATTCTCATGCCTCAGCTTCCCAAGTAGCTGGGATTACAGGTGTGCGCCATTACACCTGGTTAATTTTTATATTTTTAGCAGAGACGGAGTTTTGCCATGTTGGCCAGGCTGGTCTTGAACTCCTGACCTTAAGTGATCTGGCCTTGGCCTTCCAAAGCTCCAGGATTACAGGCGTGAGCTACTATGCCTGGCCTGTTTACTTTTAAATCAGACTCTGGTGTTTGATGTACCCCCTAAAGTTAAATAAATTTCAGGTAAAGAATACAATATTTTTTTTTATAGATCTGTTTAAATATGAAAAGACTGTTGTGAGCCCTAGAGTGTAAGTTGTTTTCAGGTGTTTCTAATCAAATCGAAAATGGCAGGAGTGTTGAGGGTAACTGTAGGAGAAAGAGGATTGTTTTGTTTTATAGGTAATTGCTTTTTTCTTGAATTCTTTATAGTTCTTCACCCAGAGAAACCTCTTATACATGATTTGTGTTTTTGAAGACTGTTGGGTGATAGGCATATAATAAATATAAAACAAAAAAACTAGAATTTAAAATCATATGGCACAATCCAAATTTTGGTATTTAAATATGTACATGCATAAGTGTAAGTTAATACATACTTACAAAACGTTAGCAATGATTAGTCTTAGAATTACAGGTAAGCATTTTAGCACCAGTATAGCTGTAGTTCAGATATGTTGCTGGTTGTCAATTAAGCTTGAACATATTTTTAATATTAATATTACATATATTCCTGTTTTTTCTGCATTTTGATTTGTTTCCTCTCTGCATAATTTTTCCGCCTATATACTGTACGTATATCACTGAGCATTATATTTTGTTTTGCAGGGAATATTGGGAAGGAAATTTGTAGAAACTAGATAACTTTTCAGTTGGTATTCTTTCTATGACATTCATTTAAACTGTTGCTTTTCATTTATATTATCCAGTATAAAAGCACATATACTCATTTGCATTGCTATTTTGTGACTTGTGTCTGGAAGAAATCATGATTAGACCCAGGGTCATCAATTTCATGGACCCTTAACATTAGGCAGTGATCCTTTTATGTATCGTTAGTAAGATGTCTGCTGTTTTCCACTATGACTATTTTTCTGATCCCTGACCTCTTACTTCACTCTTAACAGGTGACTTCACTTCCTCCTTTGTGAAGAAAATAGAAACAATGTCATAGGTGTGATAGGACCTCCCTTAACTTTCTGCCACCAAATCTGCAAAACCTGTCTGCATTCATACACATTTCCTTCTCTTTCCCTTCTGCTATAACAGAAGAAGTATTCTTTCTCGGCAAGGCCCAGCCCGCCATCTATCTTCTGCCTTCTCAGGAAGCTGGTGGCATTTGATCTTCTCCTACCTCCACCTCTGCCTTCTCTATTTATTTTACTTTCAACTTCTTATCTGCTGTCTCCTTCACAGTTTTTGATGTTGTCATAAATCCTTCCTATCCTGAAACAACAACCCTCTCTTGACCCCATCTCTCAACTTTGGCTTTTCCTCCATGGCTAGACTTTTCAAAAAGGTTATTTATAGTCATTGTCTACCTTCTACTTGCTACCAGTTAGTTCTCTGTAATCACATTTTCATACCGATCCAAGAAACCTATTCTTGACAAAGTCACTAATGATATCTTTTTAGCCAAGGTTGGTGTCTGTTTTTTGAATTTTCATTTGCCTGATCTCAGCGGTGTTTGATGTTGTTTGCCGTTTTTTCCATCTTGTGGCACTGTCCCGTTTAGCCCGCAGTGCCCAGTATTCTTGGTTTTTGGTTTTGCCTCTATGGTCCGTGTGTGTGTGTGTGTGTGTGTGTGTGTGTGTGTATTTCTTCTTTGCTTATTCCTTACTATTGGTATTTCTTAGGGCCCTGTTTTCTTGTTTAACTTCACTTTTTACCCCCTGGAGTTCTTCTCCATTTTTATGTCTTTGTCGAGCATTTTTACCTTGACAACTGCCAGTATTTTTCTCCTGAGCTTCAAACCTATATATTTGTCTGCTGGAGATCCTCACTTAGATGTCTTATAGAAACTCGAACTGTGTGTTTGAAACTGGACTCAGCAGCTTTCCCCGCAAGAAAATCTGGTTATCTGCCATTATTCCCTTGCTATTTTGGCAAGAAGAATTACTCTTACTAGAAACCTGGGATTCATTGTTTGGTGCCTCTTTCTGTCGTACCCCAGATATTTAGTTGGTAACTTACTCCAGGTGATTTTACACCTCAGTGTTTCTCGAACTTGCCTGATCCCTTTCATCCACCACTGCTGCAGCCTAGACCAGACTACTGTTTAAAAACTGATCAGGCCAGGCACAATGGCTTATGCCTGTAATCCTAGCACTTTGGGAAGCCAATGCAGGTGAATCACCTGAGGTCGGGTGTTTGAGACCAACCTGGCCAACGTGGTGAAACCCTGTCTCTAGTAAAAATACAAAAATTAGTTGGGCATGGAGGTAGACAACTGTAATCCCAACTACTCAGGAGGCTGAGGCAGGAGAATTGCTTGAACCTGGGAGGTCCATATTGCAGTGAGCCAAGATGGTGCCATTGAACTCCAGCCTGGGCAACAAGAGTGAAACTTTGTTTCAAAAAAAAAAAAAAAATGAATAAAATTTCATAGTAGTAACCAATTTCCTGCTTTTAGTTTTCTCTTCTTTTCATTTTCTGGTCTGCAGTTGGAGTGATCTTTTCAAAACACATATCTGATCCTGTCTCTTGCTTGCTTAAAACTTTTGTGGCTTTTCATCATTTTTAGGATCTTTAATGTAGTTTACAAGGCTCTCTATAATCTGGCCCTGGGCTTCCTCAGCACTATTCTGTCTTAACTCTCTACCTTCCTATCATATTCACCTTCTTAGACGTCACTCAAATGTGCCCATCTTTGTCTCTCTGTATTCACCTCATACCTTTTGTCTCACAGCGTCCCCAGCTTGAAAAAGGCAGAGGTGTCTCCCACACCGACATACACCCATACCTCCACATCGACCCATGTTATTTCCCTTTTATTTGTCTTTTGACAAAGGGAAAGGCCTTAAGATATACTTCCTGTCAAGGCCTCTTCTGAAACTAGATAAGGTTAAGTTCCTTTGCTACTCATTCTTATTACTTCCTCCTTGTATTAATCACATTTGTAATTTTGCTTTTTGTATCTTTTTACTGTCTAACCTGTATGTTGTATAAGGGGAAGGACTCTTCTGTCTCACTCAGTGCTGTATCCTCATTGCCTAGTATGATGCTTTACACATTGGAGTGGAACAGAATTCTAGTATGTTTTAATTCTATTTTTGTCCTAGATAAGTCTCTAATTTTAAAATTGAAAAATGTTGGACAGAATAGTACTTGGCATGAAGAAATAAAATTATGGGCACCGTTTTTAGAAACATAAGTATTCCATATAATTGCATTAAATATGTATTCTTAAAGGCTGTATAGATAAAATGAATCATTTGTATGATAGTCATGGAATACTTTATACTAGGGCTAAATGAGGAATTAGAGTATGACAGTTTCCATTGTAGCTGACAGTATTTCCAAATGGAGTTGATCCTATTCAAAGTAAAAGAACTAAAAGAACATTGAAGACATATGTTAAATGAAATAAACCAGACACAAAAGGACAAATATTATATGGTTCCACTTAAATAAGGTACCTGGAATAGTCAAATTCATAGAGATACAAAGTAGCATGGTGGTTACTGGGAGCTGGGGAAGCAAGAAATGGGGAGTTACTGTTTAATAAGTAGAGTTTTCATTTGGGATGATGAAAAAGTTCTGGAGATGGATAGCGAATGTACTTAGTATTACTAAACTGTACACTTAAAAATGGTTTAAATGGTAAATTTTATGCTAGGCATATTTTACCACATTAAAAAAAAGAAAACCCAATGAGATACACCTAAGAAAAACAATGAGTAGTGTATATATAGTCTGCAGGTAAAAGGCAGGATGATGTCTTTTAATTTTTACCTATTTAAGTATTTCCTAGCTAAATTGTATCGGTATGTACTGTAGAATAGTCATTCTTAAATTTTAGAGTGATTTCTTAGTGTTACTATGGATATATTAGTTAGCAATTACTCCCACAAGCCAAACGGAACAGAAGACTGCTGCTACATTTCATTGTGGATTCTACATTAAAAATGAGTATTCTTTTAAAATTATCATTGTTGGCTCTGCCCCACTTAACCTCTGGCATCTCTGACTCATTCAGCAAATATTTATTGTGTGCGTCTTTTAAAGCAGGCACTATTTTGGGCAGTGGAAATGTAGCATTGAACAAAACAGACAAAAATTCCTGTCTTAATGGAGGTTATATTCTAATGTTCTCTTTTCCTTATTGTAAAAAAGATTTTATTCCATAAAAATCATTTGTGAGTATTTAGCAACTTTGAGTGAAGCCGAGGCATGTAGTACAACATTCTCTAAAATCAGGAACTGATATATCCATACCCGTTAGCTGTGGTGTTTCTTCCCTCTTACTATCTCCATAGGTTAATATTTCCTACAGAATAGATTACTATGTAATGCCCAATAATCATTTTTAAAGTTATTTACTAATTTAGACCTTATTAGCCTAATAGATTATGCTTAAATATTTTTTGAAGACAGCTAGTTTACCATGCTGTTTTGCTTTTTTTTTTTTTTTTTTAAGAGACTTTAATGTCTCATCTGTATTTGTCATTTCTGAACGAATACACTGAGTCTTTTCTCTGCCATTTAAGAATAGCATATGATATTGGCAAGTTATTAAAAAGTAAAACAGGGGCAATAATGCTTCCTGTAGGGGGAAAAACTGATTTTTCTTGTATTAAATAGTAAGAATTTCTTTTTCTTTTTTAACTAATCACAGTTATTTCCTTCTAAAAAAAGAACTTATGTTCTGTTGAATGCATAATACTATTCAACAGCTTGTTCCTTGTATTTAGTGCCTTGTATTCCATGCTGGAGCATGCCAGCTATCTTCCTCCCATACCCCTGTACCCTGAAGCCCGTAGGGTCAATGTCATACTCTCCTACCTGTTTGGTACCTGTTATCTTGGACTTCCGTGATTAGATATAAATTCCTTCAACCAGAATATCTTTTTTTTTTTTTGTATATATTTGCCAGCTTAGTAGTTCTACTTGATTTATTGGTCAAAACATATCACCTTGAATAAACAGCATGAAAGATGGTGCCATTATAAAAGCAGCCAAAAGAATAGCACAGCAGTTTTATCGGCAAAAGAAGTCAGAAACTTAGGAAAGCAAGAAATGGCTGTGGTGTCTACTGCCAAAGAGGAAAACCATAAATTTTTACCAACCTCCTTCTTTTATCTACTTGCCTGTTCTTTGTGTGAATCATAATTGATTTTCCAAAACACTCTCCTATTTTATTTTTGGGTACCTTTTCTGGGGAAAAAACACTGACTAGGTTCTTCTTACTGTTTACATTGAGGCTTTACCTAGCCCAGCATTCTCTCCCAGCCTTCAAAATATGATGGACTGGTTGAGAAGATTTGATTGATAAGTCAAGGTATACTTTAGTACTCGAGTTGATTATCTTCTCAGAACAGTTTAATTAATTGACTCAGATGGATCATTTTAATTTTTAAGTTAAATTTGATAGAAATAATAAGTATCCTAAATAGTATGACATCTAATTACATTTTTATTTAGTGTTATAGAAAGATTGTAGATAGATTTGTGTTGATGAATCTGGACATTTATGTGGTAAGCTTTGCTTGCTTAAAGGAATGGCCCTGTAAGAAATATTAAAACATCTTAACCTTTAACGTTTGATCTTCTATAAAAAGCAGTTGACTTTGTGTGGGATATTCAAAATAATGCAAAGAACACGGCTGTTTTTCCTAAAAATTCAAAAACCTACTTAGTATTTTAAAAAATAATAACTAGTAAATAAATGCGGTTTTACAAATTTTCATTTCAGTTGCTTTTGCCAAGAGTAAGTTATTTGACGTTGGTAACTGACAAAGTGAAAAAGCACTTTCAGAAGGTTATGAGACAAGAAGACATTAGTGAGATATGGTTTGAATATGAAGGCACACCACTGAAATGGTGAGTGAATTTTTCTGCATTATTAAGCATTAAGTATATACTAGCTTTAAAAAGGTATAGTGCCCTGAAACAATTGTAAAAAAGTTCTACGAGGATAGAAGTCCTTAGTCTAGCTCATACAGTTTGTGAAGTTTAGACCATTATTAGAATATGTTATTGAAAATATTTCTGCCTTCTGTTTGGATGCATGGATTACTGGACAGAGTCATATATTTTTAGCAATAGATTTTTATATGGTACAATAAGAATATATTTGGTTATGGGTTATTTTCAGATATATTTAAAACTCCCTTATGAAAAGTCATCTCTGTGACACTAATCAATTTTATTTCTGTCACCAAAATATTTATAACCTCTTTATATACACGATTACCTTAAGTGGCATTGTTCAAACGGATTGCCATATTTAGTTGACCACTTTGCTAGAAGCACATCTTAACTAGGCTTGGTTTAGAGTATTTAAAATACATTGATTTTGTGAAAAATAAATTTGATATTTTGCATTTTTAAAAAGGGTATTGAACTGATGAGAACAGATACTACACTAATCTCAGCACTTTGGGAGGCTGAGGTGGGCAGATCACCTGAGGGTTGGGAGTTTGAGACCAGCCTGACCAACATGGAGAAACCCCATCTCTACTAAAAATACAAAATTAGTCGGGTGTGGTAGTGCATGCCTGTAATCCCAGCTACTCAGGAGGCTGAAGCAGGAGAATGGCTCGAACCTGGTAGGTGGAGGTTGTGATGAACCAAGATCACACCATTGCACTCCAGCCTGGGCAACAAGAGTGCAATTCTGTCTCAAAAAGGGGGAAAAAAAAAAGGGTATTGAAATAAAATCCTAAACCTAAACCTGGGTTTATCCATGTACAAATGATGTTTTTTTGTACTTCCTCTGTTATTGGGAGTTTTGTTCATTGTGCTTCCAAAAATATTTAATGAAACTGTGGAAATTACGGAGAGAAGAATGTTAAAAATGATAGTTCAAGGTGTGTTGGATGTTAGTGTTGAAATGCTGCCGTTTGGATAGAGTTGAATGAAAAAGATACAGGCTAAGAAAGATTTAAATGGACTTGCTCTCTGAATTCCTGGAATATTAAATGAAGAGTTTTTGAAAGAGCTTTAGGACAGATGAAAGGAACCTAGTTAGATGTTTGAAAATGCAGCTGATATGAATCAAAGGACTGTTTGTTAGCAAGGAAAGAAATTTTGGAACTCACCTTGTGCTGATGAGATCCCAAGAATGAGTATATTTTTCGTAATGGCTTTACAAACATACAAGGTTGTATTTTGGGTTCTGTCTCTAATCCTTTGAGGTGATTCTGGGTAGTTACGACACAGTTGTCTTATTATAGCATTCTTTTTTAAATCAAAACAATACTGAGCTTTATGATCATATGTCAGACTCCTCTGACTTTTCTTAAGTAGATCTAGACCTCAGGCAGTGTAGATAAGGCAATGTTTTCTATTTCTTTCTATTTCTCAGGAGAATTTGAGGTTTTGGAATGGGAAGCTGGCTTAAAGGAACTGTAAAAGAAGCAATGATTATTAAATTGAAGAGTGACAGGACAGGGGGAAAGAGTGTGGGAGAGTAGCAATGGAATATATGTATGTACTTGACATTTCTATCTGTAGTTATTTAAATTGTATTGCATTATATGCATTACAGATTATCTCAAGATTTTGTGGGACTAGCAGGGCTTCTCAGTTTTATTGTAAAGCAGGATTTCTCAGCAGGGTCACTGTTGACATTTTGAATTTGAATGTGATAAATCTTTGTTGTGGTGGGCTACCCTGTACATTATAGGGTATTTAGCAGTAGCTCTGGCCTCTTCCTACTAGTGCCAGTAGCACTTCCTCCAGTCTGGATTATCAAAAATGTTGCCAGGTGTGCCTAGATGGAGACAGAACCACCCCCAGTTGAGGAACTCTGGAAAATTTGTGAAGCCTCAATTTAGCTTGTAAAGTAAGTGATTGCTAACTCATCACCTTTCAGTTGCTGTTTTATTCTGTCCCTTGTGGTTATTCTTGTATTCAATATGGTTTATATTTTATAAGTTTATGGGTGAATAGTGTTTGGACCCATTTCTTCCTGTCACTGCTGAACAGTGATTTTGGCTTAAATATTAATATACCATATTCTTACTTTATCAGTATTTTTATCCCTTTGGAAAGTCTTTTATTAAAGAGTGGAGTTCTTTTCCCTTTTAGAGAGCTTATGTGAAAGTAATTATATTCAGGTGTCTTCATTGTAGTTTTGGGGGTGTTAACTTTTTATGTATTATATCACTTCCACAGTTGTGTCATGCTATAAGCTCATTATGGCAAATAACTTTTGATGCATCTTTTTCTTTAATGTTTTTAAGTATTCCATATATATGAGGCATGAATAACTTCCAGAGTGATAAATATAATCCAGGGCCTCTGGGCTTAGTCATGATCTTTTCTCTCTTTGCTACCAATAATCGCAGTTTTCTCTTATGTTAAAACATCTATCTCCCTGGAAATAGGCTATCAATGTAAGACTGTCTGGCATTTAAGCAGTGGGCTTCCTAAGATAGGATAATTCTGTGAATTTCCATCAGTGTAGGAGAGCAGCTACCACTGAAGCGTTGGAAGACTTGGACTTTTGAGACCATGCAGTAATCTCAAAGATAGAGAAGCATTTATTTGAGTTGGATAATAACGTCCTTCCTATATTTATTCTTTGGAGTTTTAAAGAAGTTCAGGTAGGAAAGGAAATTAGTCGCCAGTTAAGATAATTCATAAGTGAGGGAAGAAAGAACAGAAATTGATGTTTCTTCTCTCTTTATAACCTTGTCCCTGATTCTGTCCCCTAATTCAATTACTTAAGTTCATCTTTTCATACAAGGTGACAGTTCTCAGTGAAAAAAAAAAAAACAAAAAAAAAACTAAAGTCCTAGACAAATCATGACTTTCATCATACTCAGATAGTAAAAATATGACTTTATCTTCCTGTTGGTAGGACATAGATGAAGAATATTGGGGCTTTGTTTTTTTTAAACAAATTTTTGGCTTTAAGAATTTTTTTTTTTTTTTTAGAAATAGTATGTATAAAATTAGTTATAGATAGTAGCAGAATGGAGCATTCTCAAAACAAGTTGTATTTTTTCTTTACTGTTAATTCTTTCTTACTGTTCTTTGTTTTTCTTACTTGGCTAACAGACTCTGTGTGAGAAGGAGAAAATAATCCCAAACATATAATTAATGTGAAATTTAAAAAATAATTAATGTGGAATAAAATTCTTTTTGGGGAGGGGTGGGGAGATGGAGTTGCCCAGGCCGGAGTGCAATGGCATGATCTCAGCTCACTGCAACTTCCGCCTCCCGGGTTCAAGCAATTCTCCTGTCTCAGCCTCCTGAGTGGCTGAGACTACAGGCTCTTGCCACCATGCCCAGCTAGTTTTTGTGTTTTTAGTAGAGATGGGGTTTCACCATGTTGACCACGCTGGTCTTGAACTTCTGAACTTAGATGATTCACCTCCCTGGGCCTCCCAAAATGCTGGGATTAAAGGCATGAGCCACCACACCTGGCCAATTCTTCTTTATTGGAGTATAGTTTGATGAGTTTTTAAACAATTGTATAGAGTTATGTAGCTACTAACACAGTCAAGATAATAAGATATTTAATGTCACAAAATTCCCTGGTGCTCCTTTATAGTCAGTTACCTCCTTTTCCCCCCAGTTCACAGCAATTACTGATCTAATTTCCATCTCAGTTGTTTTACTTTTCTCAGAATGCCATATATGTGGATTCATGCAGTATATAGCCTTTTGTGTCTGACTGTTACCTCGAGTAATGTTTTTGAGGCTCATTCTTGTTGCATGTACCAGTAGTTTTCTTCCTTTTTATTGTCAAATAGTATCCTGCTGTATGGTTGTACCACAAATTGTTTATTCATTAACTGATGTACATTGGATTATTTCCATCCGAGGGCTATTTTGAGAAAAGCTGCTGAAAACATTCACCCAGTGGTCTTCCTGTGCCAGACCACATGTATTGTAAAAGAGAAAATTTTAATTTTGTTTTATGCATCGTTCATATATTTTTTATATTATTTTTATAATTTTAAAAGAATTTACTATGGATCGCTTCACGAATTTGCGTGTTGTCCTTATGCAGGGGCCATGCTAATCTCTGTTTTGTTCTAATTTTAGTACATGTGCTGCCAAAGCGAGCATGAATGTTCATTGTTAGTGTGTAGAAATGTGATTGATTTTTGTGTTCTGCAACCTTGCTGAACTCACACACTAGTTCTAGGAGTTTTTTTGGTAGATTTTTTGGGATTTTCTATGTAAACCGTCTTGTCATCTGCAAATAGAAATTATTTTCGTGTTTACAACCTGTAGGCCTTTTATTTCTTCTCTTTTTTTTTCCTTATTGGAGTGGCTAGAACTTCTAGTGCTGTGCTGGATAAGAGTGGTGAGGGTGGACATCTTGTGGTGTTCTTAGTTTTATGGGGAATATATTAGTCTTTCACAATTACCATGAATAGGTATTGGATTTTGTCAGATGCCTTTTCTGTGCTAATTAAATGATTGTATCACTTTTCTTCCTTAGCTTGTTGCTATAATATGACATTTGTGGATTTTCGATGTTGGACCAACCTTGTATATCTTTAATAAATCCATTTGGTAATGGAATGTAATTAGTTTTATACATTGTTGGATTCAGTTTGCCAAATACTATTTTGTTGAGTTTTGTGTCTTGCGTTCATGGGAGAGATTGTAGTTTTCTATTTTTCTGTTGTCTGATTTAGTATTAGGGTTATACTGTCTTTATAAACTGAGTTGAGAAGTGTTCTCTTCTGATATATTTTCTGGAAAAGATTGTGTACAAGTGCTGTTAATTCTTTAAATGTTTGATAGAAGTCTCCAGTGAAACCACTTGGGTCTGGAGTTTCTTTTTGGGGAGCATTTTAATTACAAATTCAGTTTCTTTGATATATATAGATCTATTCAGCTTGTCTATTTCATCT